CCAGCACTGGTGGTTCTGCCCCACCGGTTTGCAAACCACTGTGGTGTGGAGGTCACCGGTGTGTCCCCACTCCTCACTGGTGGGTCCCTGTCCCTCACTGGTGATGTCCTTGTCCCCATCCCTCACTGGTGGGTCCCCATCCCTCACTGGTGATGAACCTGTCCCCATCCCTCGCTGGTGGGTCCCCATCCCTCACGTGTGATGAACCTGTCCCCACCCCTCACTGGTGGGTCCCCGTTCCTCACTGGTGATGACCCTGTCCCCATCCCTTGCTGGTGGGTCTCTGTCCCTCATTGATGTTGTCCCTCTCCCTGACCCTCACTGATGATGTCCTTGTCCCCATACTTTGCTGGTGGGTCCCCGTCCCTCACCAGTGGGTCCCCTTCTCTCACCAGTGATGTCCCTGCCCCTATCCTTCGCTGCTGGGTCCTCATTCCTTGCTGGAAATGTCGCTGTCCCCATCCCTCATCAGCACACCTCCATCCCCCATCAGTGATGTCTCCATCCCCATTCCTTGCCGGTGATGTCCTCCTCCCTCACTAGTGATGTCCCCATCCCTCACCAGTGATGTCCTTGTCCCCACCCCTCACTAGTGGGCCCCCATCCCTCACCAGTGATGTCCCCATCCCCACCCCTCACTGGTGGGTCCCCATCCCTTACTGTTGATGTCCCCATCCCTCACCATGAACCGCCCCCAATCCCACCCCCGTGCCCCTCACCAGGATGGATGTCCTGGAAAAGGGATTTCCAGATGGTGTACTGCAGCGGCCCCATGTATTTGGAGGTGGGAAAGTCCTCGTAGGTCAGGTTGGTCTCGTGGATCTTCCCCTTCAGCCTGCAAGGCAGAGATGATGGAGAAGAGGCAGGGGACAACGCGGGGGACCCCTGTGTCACCTCGGTGTCACCCACCTCTCGGAAAGGGACGCGACGCCGGCTAAAAAGACGTGTTTGTCGGCTTCGGCCAAGCGCTCCTGGAGGATCTGGCTGCCCTCCTGCACCTTGCGGAGCTGCTGGCTGTAGCGTTGGATCTTCTGCTCGATGTCGGTCAGCGTCCGCGCCGTGTCCGCCTCCAGCTCCTCCAGCATCGCCTTCTGCCGCTCCCGCAGCAGCCGGTGCAGCCGCTCGAAAGCCTCCCCGATCGTCACCCGCAGGCTCTTGGCTGAGGACTTTTTGAGATGCAGGTGGGTGTCAGGACCCCCCCCAAACCTGCCCCAACCTCTCCATGAATCCGTAATTCCCCGAAATAAACCCCTACAGCCCCGTTAAATCGAACAATTCTGGATGCTCCAAGGATGGGTATTTGACCCCGCACGTCTATAGAAAACCAAAGAAAAACCCCGTCGCTGGTGGGGGTGGAGAGAAAATTGCACCGCGCTGAAAGCTGAAGCCCTGAGCAAGGAGAAGGCGATACATATAAAATAAAAATTAACTAAAAAGAGAAATAAAAGCAACCTGAAGGAAATAAACGAGGGATAAGCAGGCTGACGGGTGGCTTCGTCAAACTGCCGGTGGGTTTTGGGGTACCCAGGAAGGAAAAAATGGGGTAAACCGATGAAACTGTGGGGTTTGGGGTCTTTGGAGGTCCCAAAATCAGGTCGGGGCTGGGGTGTTATCAGAGGGGCGATGGGGTGGACCCCAATCCCAGCTGCACTCCCACATCCACCTGGTGAAGGGGGCGCAGGGAAGGGCCGGGGTGAGGCGAGGGGGTCCGGATCCGGCCACCCCGGGGGTCACAGCCGCGTCCCTGCTCGTACCTTGGTCTCAGCCAGCTGCCGTTTGAGGAGGTGCAGGGCTTCGGTGTGGCCGCGCTCGCTCTCCTGCAGCCCCTGGAGCTGCTCCTTCAGCTCCCGCTGCAAGACGGGGAGGAAAAAAACACCATAAAATAGGGGATTTGGGGGAAAAAAGGGATCCCAGCAGGCAGCTTTCCTGCCAAAACCCGACTCGTGGGGTTACAGGAGTCATGGGAAA